ACTTCTTCTGTCTGAGTATTCAATATCTGTGCAACCAGAAGAAGCTACCTGAAAATGCAGAGAGATTTGACTCCTGGCCCTGTGTGGCAAGAAGGGCAAGAAGCCCTTCACCTCCAGAAGACACTGCTGGGAGGTGGAGGTGGGGGACAGGACTGACTGGTTGCTTGGGGTGTGCAGGACAGATGTGATGAAGAAAGAGTTCATCCTCATGTCTCCCAGGAATGGCTTCTAGGTGGTGGAGTTAGCTGGAAAAGGGTACTGGGTCCTCGCCCACTCCAGGTCCTTTCATTGCCAGAAGCCCTGCATCGGGTTGGGATTTTCATAGACTTTGAATCAAGAGCTGTGGCCTTCTACAATGTGAATGATGGATCCCATATCTGCTCATTCACCAAGGTCTCTTTCTGGCCCCGTTTGTCCTATGTTCTGCTTGTGGTCTTGTGATAAGAAACCCCTGACTATCTGTCCGGTTGCAGCTGATGGGCCTGCAGAGGTCGCAGTCATTCCTGATGCCCAGGCCTATCAGAAACTATTGCTCCAATGGGAGAGGATTCTGTCTCTGGAGCCACAGATAATCAGTAGCCTTCCTGAGCAAGTGACAGTATATTCCAGCAAAGTCCTTTCACCTCCCCACTCCAGTAATCCTTCCTGAAGCTACAGCTGTCACTGTCACCCATAACTTCAGTTCCTTTTGGGGGACATGGAGTAGTCTTAAAGTTGTGACTGGGTTGGAAGATTATGGGAGCTTCTTAATGTGCTTTAGATCATTAGGCAGGCTTCAGGAGCATTACCATAAAATCTGAGGGCATACAAATGATTAAAAAGGAAGAGTGCAGCAAGAAACACCTTAGTGTACAGAACAGATACGGTGTGAAGCAGTGTGTGTTGCATGTGTGATGTACGGAAAGAAGGGTAAGGTGAAGGTGCTATAGCTCTCTCCATGGCTGTATTGGAGAGATTCTGGGTAGAGCTCCAGAGTGCTGTGCAGTTTATATTTATCCCCTATCCCTCCCTCCCTCTACCTATCCCTTGCCAAGACCTTGATCTGACCTCACTTCATTAGCTCAAAGATGGATTTATTAACTCTCTGCTTGAGACACATTGCAGGATTGTGAATGCTTTCCCCACTTGGAACCTTAGCTTCCTGCTTCCTAAACCCAAGTAGCTCTTACCCTCACCCAGTCTTCCTGCTCTGCCCTCACTTGCCAATATTCAATAATTCAATAATTTGCCAATATTCAAAATTCAATAATTTCAACAATAAACTTTCAGAAATAGAAGTAAAGAAGCTTAGAAGCACACAGTAACCTAAAGAACCAAACCAGTGTCCCATTCACCAGGTACTCGGAAAACTGCAGATTAGAACAAGAAGAGTAAACTGGTCTGGAACCAGCGTTATAAGAAGGATGTTGAGGGGAAAGGAAAAAGTATAACAGTGTCAGGAGGACAGGAGTTCAGCCTAGTCTCACTGTTTGTGGTCTTAATCATCTTCACAGTACTTCCGTTTCTCTTCTGTTTCTTCATCTGTATAAGGTGGGAGTTAAATATACATATATATGTATATATATTTTTTTTCTTTGTTTTAATTGCAATACCGGGGATCGAACTCATGACCTTGCACTTGCCAGGCAGGCGCTTGTGCCACTAAGCTAAATCCGCAGCCCTAAACTTACATTTTTTAATTGAATTTTTGTGCTTTAAAAGTATAGTTTAAAAGTGCTTCTGTCACTCAGAGATTTCTCATAACGACCCTGCGAGAAGGAAGTTTCACTTAATAAAATTGAGTTCTAGAAAGCTTAATTATTTGGACCAAGAAGCAAGCCCTCCCTGCGAATCAGTGCCATGCACAGGTCACTGGAGGGAAACCCAGATGCCAGCCCCTTCTGGCACACGAGCTGGGAAACAAGAAGAGCCCCCATTGTACCCCTTGCCATAAGCAACCAGCCATCCAAGAAACACAGGCTGCCATGATAACTATTGAGGCAAAATACAATTTAATGCTGGTAGTGTATAGTGTTTCACTGACTTTGCAAGTCTAAAGCAGGTAGTCTGATCATCTGTTTAGAGGATAACAATATGCAATGTAGCATCTATGGGGGAATCTCCTGAGAGTGGTAGCCATTGTTAATTCCCTGTCATCTTGTTTTGAGGTTCTGTATCATTTTCATTGTTTTGTTGGGTTGAGTTTTATTCTGTTTTGTTTTGACTTTATTATATCCAGTGGCATGGACAGCTATTCAGGTATAACAAGATATATTGTGGTAGCCATTTTGGATTTACTCTTACCTTGTTTTGAAGTACTTCATTGCATTCATTGTTTCATTTTTATTGGTTCTGTTCTATTTGCTTTTTACTATATCTGAAGCTATCTGCAGCTGTTTTGAAAACAAAGGGAGACATTATGGTAATCATTGTTGATTTTCTATTGTCTTGAAGTCCTGTGTCACTTACACTGGTTTGTTTTGATTGGCTTTATTCTGTTTTATTTTGCTTGGTTTTATTCTCTTTAAAATAATAAAAAAAAAATTGGTCATTAGTGTGACTAAAAAAAAGATAAAAAAAAATAATAAAAAAAGAAAGTTTAATTATTTTTATAAATTTTCCAGATATCATGGAAAACAATTTTCTACCATTGTGGCTGAGTTAGTCTAGGTTCAGCTGGGCATTCTGCTACCAGCAGCTCAGCCCCTTGGGCAGCCCTGAAAGGCTAAAGCAGTTCTCTCCTTGTTAGCAAACCCTTAGGTCAGTTTGATTCACACACAGGATGACAATCATTGCTTTGCAAAAGAGAACAGATTTATTCAGAAAAGTAAGTAAGTGAGACAATGGGAGAGTGGATCTCAAATCTCCCAAACTACCCTCCCCCCAGGATAGCTGAAGGCGATTTTGAGATAAAGATGCAGAGGTAGGGAATAGGGCAAGGTGATTGGAAGAAGAGTGAGGTAGGTCATGACCTGGGCAGGTGTGATAAAACCTCAGAGTTTTTCATAGGACAGGCAGCCAGGAAATACTGGTTTTTGCATGATTTGAGGGCAATTGTAGCCTCCAAAATCAAAAAAAGTCACTGAGCCAGGGACTTAGCTGAGTGGCGCAGCATCTTCCTAGCAAGTATGAAATTCTGAGTTCTATTCCTGGTACCAAAAAAAAAAAAAAAGGAAAGACGCTGGCATGGCCTGAGAAAAGGGCCAGCGTTTCAAGCTGCCTAATCAAGGCAGAAGTGGCCTCCAGCAGTTCCCTGATGGGTGTTGATCTATAGCAGAGCTGGTAGGAGTTTAATAAAATACCATTTAGCCACATCAACTCGAAAACGGTGATTTGCAGGCTGTTGTGGTGCACAGCTATAATCCAGCCCTTTGGGAGGCTGAGGCAGGAAGATGAAAAGGTGGAGCCCAGCCTGGGCAATTTAGCAATTTAGGCCCTATCTCAAAAAAAAAAAAAAAGGGCTGGGATTTTAGGTTAGCGTAAAGACCCAGTTCAGTCCCTCGTGAAATAAACATTTTAAAAGCCAACACAAAGTAAAGAGAAGTGAGTGAAGTCTAGAGGCTTTATACAGGTTTCCCCAAATTTCAAACTTGTCTCCCTTCCCAGGCTTTTCAGGTAAATTCTTTGTGTGTGCTGGTGAGCATCAGTAGAAACTTAAAAGATCTAAGAAGTCTGAACTGGTGAACCCCTGTGCCACTGGCTAGAGCAAATCACAAGGCCAAATGCCATGTCAAAAGAGGAAGCACACTGTCTGTGGTAAGACCTGTAGGGAAGGAAACTCAGAGAGGTGTATAGAACTGAAATCAGTAATTCCAACTACACTACCTATCTAAGATCCAACCCTATCCAACCTTCTTAATGCCTTCCAGTAACCTGCTGACTGCAGGGCTCCCTCTTATCTCTGGAACTTTTAACCTAGACCGCTAAGCAATTAGGGGGCTCAGAAAACAGCCCCAAAATATTCTGCTTTAGACTTTCTTGGCAAACAGCAAGTCCAGGGAAAGCACTTTCTTTCATGATCTCTACCTTGAAGATTTGGAGTCTTCTGAAGGCACTCAGGCAACATCAGTGAGACGTGGGGATGGAGGGGAACTTGATTGCTGCTAAAGTGTACTTTCTCCAGCTTCTTGGGGAGGGGGTATTCCTGCCTCATGGGGATTTAAATTTTAGACATGCTTGGATTCATACCCTATATAATGACTTCCAACCAAAAGTCATCTAAATCTAAAAATATGATTATATATTTATCTAGCTTTTAAAAATTGGAAAGGATAATAAAGGTCAGCACAATAAGCCCTGATGCCCTTTAGATCTGAAAGGGGACATTGGCAGTGGCTGAAAACTAAAGCAGGCCTGACAAGTATCAGCTTTCAAAAACAAGAATACAAAATACACAAAGCAAAGCACAAAGTAACCTACCATGGACATTATATGCGGCTTCCAAGAAACAGCTACATCTTCACCAATTACAGCTTTAGCCACTTATGTTCTTCCCATTTCCTGATAAAAATACTGGGTCATCTGCCAGTCTGATGGCACATGTCTGTATCACAGCATTTGGGAGACTGAGGCAGGAGGACTGCTGAAAGTTCAAGGTCTCCCTGAATTACATAGTGAGACCCTGTTTCAAAAAACCAAAAATAAAAAAGCAATTATATATATATATATATATATATATATATATATATATATATATATTTGTGTGTGTGTGTGTGTGTCTTTTATCAGTACCAGGGATCAAACTCACGACTGCCTGCTTGCAAGGCAGGCACTTACTCCACTAGCTAAATCCTCAGCCCTGCAATTTATATTTTTTAAAAATTGCTCCCACTTTTCGATAGCATTCATCTAGAGCAAGCCTTTGCTTTCTTGAACCTCCCCAGATCCCTAACATAAGCCAAATCTCTTCACAAATCCTGCATCTGCAGGTGGGCTCCCTGCTTTGGTAACAAGTACCCTAACCATAAGTATCATAAACACCTGGCTGGACAGCTGGGGGCTGTGATTGACAAGACCTTGGCATGACCATTGACAGCAATCAGAAGGAATTAATAGCATCTTGGCCCCAGTCTTCCATTTCCCAGGTACAGCAAGATCTGTCAGCATCTAAAGCCAAAAGGAACTTCCCACAGATTTCTAAGAACAAAAGCTGAAACAAAAAGCATGTTCATGATTTACTGATAATTTTTCAGTAATCAGGTATTCACAGAAGGGAACAGTGGTTTTATTGTACATTGTGTACACGTATTCCAGCTTCTTTCCCCTATCTGTACCTCAAATGATAATTGGTTTTGTTTTGTTCATCTTCCAAAGAAACTCATACAAGGGCTTGTGAAACTGAGTTTTGTCCCTGTTGTTCCACAAACAATGACCCCCTTAGAAACCGTTCTATTCCCATGGACTGGGAAAGGCACAATTGTGTACACACCAGTGGCTCTTCACAGCTCCAGGCTTCTGCTTCCTAAAGATTCAAAGCCCCAGGAGGCATGAAAATGAAAAATTCTGACAGCTTTTCAGTGACACACATGAAAGGGTGCTAACATCCCATTTTTCTTGGGTCACAACAGCTCTTTTGGAAGTTCAAGACTGGCTGATCCTGTGCTCCTTCCCCACATCCGTTACAGGCGCAGCTGGTGGGGAGCAAGGGAGTCAGGAGAGTATGTGCTCCTGGGCTGGCGGAGAGAGGTGGTGGTGGAGACTAAGAGCTGGTTAGAGACTGTCTCAGAATATTAACGGTCTCTCCATGCTGCCCCATTTCTCTCCAGAGTTGTATTCTGAATCTCACATCATTTGTCTCTTTGTCCTCTCTGCCCCCTTTTCCTTCTCTCCTTTTTAAGCATCTTCCCCTCCTCTCCTTTGTCCTCCTCTCCTTTCTCCCTTTTCATCTCTCCCCTTCCCCTCCTCCCCTCACTCCCTTCTCTCCCACTTTCCTGCACACAGCCCCCCCCCACGTACTGACAGCCTCCTGATCTCTTTGAGGGGCAGGGTTCCAGCTTTGCTGATCCTCAGCAACAATCCTGAGTTGAGTTTCTAGTTCTACAAGTCACTTAGAGTCCCCAAGAAGACAAAGCACAGAACTGCAACCCAGATAAAAACAACAACAGCAACAACAACAAAAAAACCTCTTTTGGGTTTGGTTTGGTTTTTTTGGTATAAAAACACCTTTATTATTAGTTCATCCTGTCACATTTCCTCATCGTGTTTTCTAGCCCCACTTCCCAAATAAATTACTTGAACCTAAATCTTTGTCTCAAGGTCTGCTTTAGGGGAAAGGCAAACTAAGGGAATGGAGGGTGACAGCCAATCAAGAATCCCAGTTGCTGCTCCGTTGTCTGAGTTCTGCATTTCCACAATGTCCACAGCCTGACTCCAGAGGGTAAAGGCAGCTGTGCTCCAGAGGGCCAGTCCCACAGGACACAGGATAAGGAACAGCTGGGAACAGCAGGAGGGGTGCTCGGCAGCAGTGGTCCCACAGCCCCATCCTTCCCCAAATTCTCTTGTTTCTACCTTGCTCAAACCCAACTTCACTTTACTGGCACTCAGGAATTCCCAGTCCACCCTTTGTTCTGGGAACTCTCCATTTCAAAAGTATTTCTAAGAAGAAGCCTCAGATTTCAACTTCTTGCTCCATCCCCACTGTCCCCAATTCCTCACTGAAGTCCGCCACCTCCTTGTCCTGCCATCTCCCGTCCTCTCCACCCATGGTTGTCATACACAAACTGTGGTGCTTTAGGTGTCCAATTTTAACATGGCCCTGGATACAGGGGATTATTTTGGTATTACAATATCAAAATGTCATTAGGTCACACCTGTTTATTACCTTCATGTCAACCGTAGATGTCCAGCAAAACCAGCTTGCTTACAACCACAGAAAACTGCAATCCTGCCCAATCCCCACTCACACTGGTTCCCTCTTGGCTCTGACCATGAGCAAAACAAGCCCAGTGCTGAGAGAACCATCATCCAGCAGCTTCATGGGTCCTGCAAAGCCGGCAGCTACCTCTCCACTCAGTAAAAAACAGAAAAGCCCTACAGCTCAGGTAGTTAGCAGCAGGACTTGTTCTTGGTGGGCATGAGGCCAAGGGGTTCCATCCACAGCACACGTAGGCATGCACGCACACACACACACACACACACACACACACACACACACTGCAGACCCTGCCTTGTGGCTGGCAGCATTCACAGGGAGGATCCTGTCTGCACACCATGCCTCCTAAATCAGAATCTATTTCTAAATGACTCAAGTACGGTTGAGAGAAATGTTACTACTGATGGTAGGAGAGAGCAAAATCGCCTCTTGATCGTAATAGAGGCTTAATTCAATTCTAAAAATATATTTGTAAAGAAAAAGAAGCATAAGTCAGTTTTTATGTTCAGAAATATGCAGACAAGTACTGGATAAAACAACTAAGTAAAAAAAGTAAGTATTGCTGGGGATTTAGCTCAGCAGCATAAGCACCTGCCTGGGGAGTGTGAGGTCATGAGTTTTATCCCCAGTGCCAATAAAGCGGGGGAGGGCTCAGTGGCATAAACACCTGCCTGACAAGCCTGAGGTTGTGAGTCCGATTCCTAGTACACACACACACACAAACACACAAATTGTACCATGGCTACTTAAAAACAAGTATTTACTTTAAAAAAAAAAAATAGTTCTCAGGGTTGGGGAGATAGCTCAGTGGCACAGCATCTGCCTAGCAAGCTTAAGGTCCCGAGTTTGATTCCTGGTACCAAAAACAAACAAACAAAAAAAGTGAAACAAGGTCTTACTAGGTTGTCCAATTTTACCTTGAACTCACTGCGTAGCCCAGGCTGGCCTCAAATTTGAGATCCTCCTACTTCAGCCTCCTGAGTGTGAGGTATATACAACCACACTCAGCTAACTACATATTCTGTTTGTTTTGTTTTGCTTTGCTTTTGTTTTTTGTTTTTTTGTTTGTTTGTTCTTGAAACAAGGGTTTGATACTGAATAGGCTACCTTTGAACATACTGTGTACTGCAGGCTAACCTCAAACTTAAGATTTTTCTGTCTCAGCCTCCCAAGTGCTCAGACCACCGTGTCCAATGTAGGCTGGTCCTAGAGAAAGGAAGACATCGGATAGGTTGGAAATGAAGCTAACAATTTTCTTAAAATCTCTTTGTCCCATCTGGTTTTTAAAAACTCTTTATCTTTCACCTTTACCGTCGAGATTGAAAAAAAAAAAAAAAAAAAAAAAACCTCTTTATCTAAGCAGGACTCAATGGCATACCCTTGTAATCCTGAACTATGGGAACCTAAAATAAGAAGACAATAAATTCAAGCCCAGCTGGGTAATTTAGCAGTTTGGTAAGATACTGCCTCAAAATTTAAAAATAAATAAACAAAGGATGTAGCTCAATCCCCTGTACCACCACAAAAAATTAATAATAATAAAATAAAAACACAGGTATTAACTTTGACAGAATAAAAACTAAATTAAAAAAAGAACAGCCACAAATAGCTGTCTAAGCAAAATGCTAAGTGTTAACTAAGAAAGAGTGCAAGAAACCATGGCAACTATAACATTTGACACTGAGGAATTTGAACCCTGCATGGTAAACAAGAGGCAGCACATTCCACAGCCCCAAGGGCTCCTGTCTACGAGCAGTTAGGAGTGGGAGCTCTTCCTGAAAGCAGCTCCTCACGCCAGGCTGCTCCCAAGCAGAAGCTGGGAACGGGCAGCCAATGCATTTTCTTCACTGCATGAAACAAGACCTTCTGCAGTTTATTGCTGGGGTTAAGATGCTGGAACTTGACACTAGGGCAGAGGTGCAGCATCCCTTTTCAGTGTTTATCATCAGCATATATTCTCATTTATTTCATTATATAGATCCAAATATATTATAAAAAAATAAAGAAGACTCTCTACTTATGAGTCATGTTTAGTTCAATAACTATTACAGGTCTCAAATTTTATTGCTGTTTATATTTCGGCCATACATACATACATATATAGTAAAACATAATGCAAATATATGCATATGTGAGTGCCTATATCATGCACATCAAATCAGTTTTAGCTTTCCCAAAAATTTTCTCTGAACAGTCATATTAATCCTATACTCTTCTTACAGAGTATAACAATTAGTCTTGATTGTGGTATTAACCCAACTCCCAATTAATGAAAACATACATACACAAGTCATTCCTGATTATTTAATAGATGGTAATATTGTATTGAATATTTAAGTTAACTGGGTTTTTTGTTTTGTTTTTTGGTACTGTGTTTGCCATGCAGGCGCTTATACCGCTGAGCTAAATCGCGGGCCCCCTGGTTGTTTTGTTTCCCCTGAGACAATGTCCATGTAGTTCACACTAGCCTTGAACTCATTGTGTAGCCTGGGCTGGCCTCAAACTCAAAGTAATCCTCCTGCCTCAATCTCCGGAATGCTGGGATTATAGATGTGCACTACCATGCCCAGTTTAAATTAATTCTATAAATTATTCTTAAACACAAATTAATCAAAAGCAATGATACAGCCAGAGATATAGCTCAGTAGTATTGTATCTGCCTGGCAAGTATGAGGTCCTGGCACCTACAAAAAAAAAAAAAAGTAAGCATAATAGGGGCCCAGATTATGGTTAAAGATCATAATTTTTTATAATGCTGTATATTTCCTCAAGCATGAATAAAATAAACATGGCATTTCTGAAGGACATTCATATATTCAGGGATTTTTAGGTAAAAAGTGACAGGACAAGATTTATGTTTGGGGACAATTATTTTCCAGGCAGTCATTATAGTCATAATTCTATTAAAAGGCAAATTACAAAACTGGGAAGGACCTTTGTCATGAATGTAATACAGAACTTGTTATTTTTAATTTCTGGAGGATTCATACAGATTGCCAAAGAAGAGCATCAGGGCCAGTCTTGAATACAATGGACAATTAGCCTGAAGCTCATTTCTAGAATATGTCAATCAATTAACACATGAAAATGGCCAGTCTCTTTATCATATAGAACACAGCAAAATATTGCAGGAATTTGATAAATTTTACACATTCCCATAGTGACAATGTTTTTTTAAATTAGCCGACAGTTGCTGGAAGGACTTGGTGAGCAGGGGTTGAGTGAGCTGACAGTGTGCTGGGTTCATATTTCACAGAGGGACACTGGGCAGTAGGCTCAGACCCTGTGACCCGACACCTCTACTTCAGGAAATTTATCAGATGGTTAATCAGGAACTAAGACTTAATGTGCATTATTTATAACAGAAAATAAAAGAACAAACTGTCTCACAATTTTGGCAGTTATGCAACAATTCAGGGCAAGAAAGCCTTATTGATTATTTCTATGTTGTATGTAAACATTAAAAAAAAAAAAACCACTGGAAAGACACGCTAACATAGAGCTATTGTTAAAAATATCTTTCTGTGGGGCCGGGGATTTAGCTCAGCGGCATAAGCAGGTGGTCATGAGTTTGATCCCTGGTACCGATAAAAATGAAAAAGGCAAAAAAAAAAAAAATCTTTCTGTATTTTATTGATTTTTCCCCCATAACATTTACAGCTTTAGCCTCACGTGAGGAACTTCTCTGAGAGAACTATCCTCCGACTTCGGCTGGGCTGTAGCTGCAGCTCAGTGGTACAGGCCTTGCCTATCATGCCCCAGCGCTGGGGCCCCATCCTCAGCACCCTACCAGAGGGGGAAGGGGGATCTGTGTACAGAGATATCCTTAGGGTGGGAATGCTGGGCCCTGGGAACTGACCTGGTGCCTTTTGACCTGGTGCCTTCACCCACCTTGCTCAAGGATGTGAAACCTCCCCCAACACCCCCACTCACCTCAGTGTCCTCTTCTCCCTGGGAGGAAAAGGTTGCCATGATGAACAAGAGTCCAAGAGTTGGCTACTCCCTAGTCTCTGCCCTTTGTTTTTCAGCCCACACAAATACAGTAACAATAAAATAACAACTTACTTTTTTATGTGGTAAGCACTTTACCTGCTTCATTTAATCCTCCCAACATATCCTCAGCAAAGGTCCTACCAACACTATTACTTTGTTTTTGTTGTAGATGTTAAAGTAATGCTGGGGATCAAAACCCTTTGTTTGGGGTTTTTTTGTTTGTTTGTTTGTTTTTGCTTGCTTTTAGATTAGTTTCTACAGGTAAGTTTTATATAGGCTGTCCTTGAGTCTGTTGCCCAGGCTGGCTTTTTCAAATGTGCTTAAGCTCTCAAGTGGGATCATTAACCGCCACCACCACCACCCTGCCACCTTTTTGGTACTAGGAACAGATCCCAAGACCTTTGGTGCTGACCTGCATTTCCAGCTCTTCTTAGTTTGGATCAAAATCTGGCTACATCCTTAAATCACTCAGGCTGGGCTCCTCCTGAGGTCCTCCTGCCTCAGCTACCCAGAGTGCTGGGATTAGAGGGAGGCATCTACACCTAGTTTGATTTCTAAAACAAGAGAATTGAGGCTTGGAGAGGTAAATTAATTGGCAAAAGCTCTTGTATTTCATTTTAATTTTTACCTGACTCTCTCTCTTCCTTTTTCTCTCTATCCCTCTTTATTTAGCCCACAACTCCCTAGCTCTCCATCTCTCGGAACCTTTTTATTTTTCCCTAACACAAGTGCACCAGGCCCCTGGAGGCAGGCTTTCAGTCCAGCACTTCCCCTTTCCTTCTGTTGCTGGCTTTTAATTTTTGCCCCAGGGGCCACAACCTGCTTTTTCACTCGGTGGCAGGAGCTCCTGTGTCTTTTCCTCCAAGACCAGAACCTCGAGGCCAGTAGGTGTTGCCACCTCCGTCCCTCTGGTCCTCACTCCTCTTGGGCCCTCTATTCTTCAAACTCTTCTGCTCTCTTGAACACTTCTACTTTCTCATCTTCTCACATCTTTTTCTCTTTTCTCCTCTATTGCATTTCCCTTGTGACCATGTCTGCCTAACCAGCCTTATCTTTATCACTTCTAAAAGCTAAGGCATATTTGATTCTACCATAACTTTTTTAGTTCAGTGCAGTGATCGCAAGATTCGTGTATTTATACGCAGTGCACTAGCAGGCACTATGCCTCACAACGCCTTTCTTGAGACTAAGGCTCTCTAGAGCGGTAAGGGCACTTGGCTGTTTTGTAGGTGCCTGAGCAAACCGGGGCACAGTCTAAGAACTCCTTGGAAGGGGGGCACCTAGGGGCGCAGAGTGCCATTTGTAGAGGTCTGGTGGAGATCCCGGAGCTAAGAGGCCCCCAGCCTCTCTAGCTTCATGCCGTTTGCCCCCAGGCCGAGGCTCCTGCGCCCCTCACCCACAGCTTGGAGATGGTGACACCCGGCCTTCTTGTCGCGCTCCTGCTCACACTAGAGCTCCTGCAGCTGCACGCACTGCGCGCAGGTCAGTGCCCTTCTTGCGCAGGTCAGCGCCCTCTTGTCCCGTGGGATGGAAATGTTTCATTAAAAGCAAATGACCCCATTGTGGCCCCGCTGGTGACCTCCTGCCGGGGTCGCGAGGGTCCCCTGGATTTTCCGGGGAAGGTCTCAGAGAGGAATCTAGGCCGACTGGAGCCTGACTTGTGCCTGCCCTCCACCCGCCCTCGGTCTGTCTCCCAGCTCGCTTCGACGTGATCGGGCCCACGGAGCCCGTGCTGGCCGCGGTGGGGAACGATGCGGAGCTGCCCTGTCGTCTGTCGCCCAACGTGAGCGCCACGCACATGGAGTTGCACTGGTTCCGAGAGGCGCCATCATGGGCCACGCTACTGCATCGGGACCCGCAGGGGCGCGCGGAAGAGCCGGCGCCCGAGTTCCGCGGGCGGGTGACTCTGGAGGCCGACAGCATCGCCGAGGGGCGCGCAGCAGCGCGGATCCACAGAGTCCGGGCTGCGGACGAGGGCGACTACAGGTGCCTCTTCCGGGACGACACGAGCTCCGGGGAAGCCGCCGTGCGCCTCCGAGTGGCCGGTGAGAGAAAGGAAAGGGGTTTTCGCTCTCCCCGAGGGGTCCCAGGCTGGCAGTGTCCGATGCTTTGGAAATCATTAGGATTCATTCTTAGAATCCCTTTTAGGCTGAAGAAAAACGGGAAGATTTGAGATGAGAAGAGTGAAAGCAAAGTGAAAATCTCTTTCTCATGGAGCGTCATTTTAATTATCTTCTTTCCCTTCAATGATAGGATATTTCCCCCATGAAATTGATTACATAAATGATGCAGTCAGTAGGTATATAACATTCTTTTACACAGATACACCATAGTTTAGTTAATTAGCTCCCACAACTCAACATTTTAGTTCTGTTTATAATTGAGACTGTGCCGCACACCACAGGGGATCTGAGGTTATGTTATGGTTAAGTCTCAAATAACTAAGATCAGAGGGCACAGCCATTTGCTAACATTCTTGAGTCACCTGGAAAATACATTGCTTTTTTTTTTTTTTTTTTTTTTTTTTTTTGTGCGTGAGATCAAACTCATGATCTCGCACTTGCCAGGAAGGTATGTATGCCTGCTGAGCTAAATACCCAGCTTTGATTATTTTCTTGCTTCAAGACAAAATTTAGAGTGAAACAGAGAAAATGATTAGCGTTCTGGAAGAAAGTACAAGTTGAGGTTTGACTTTCCCACATACTAATGATTGGCATCAGGAAAAACTGGGAAACATTTCTCCAGTAAGATTTTGCAAGAATGAAATAAATTTAGACATTGCATGAAAAACTGCCTTGTTGATTCTAAAGGCATTTATATACTTATAAGATATTATTACTATGTCTTAGACTAATCTAAAATTTAAAATGTCTGTAAATTATATACTGTATTTAAAGTATCATATATAACTCTTATTTTTAGGGACAAGTCGCTTAAAGACTGACTACAAAAGCCTAGGTATTTGATAGTGTAAAATTTTGTAACCTTTTGTGAGTGAGAGACACTTTTGAGACTGATGAAAGTGGTAGGCCCTTTCACAAGAAGGATATACATTCTCATTTATCTACACAAACTTGGGATATGGATAGTTGTAGACATGTGTTTATGGACTTTTCTCTGCAATTCAGTGTTTTCCACAATTTTATAATTATAAATTTTTTTAAAAGGAATTGCACCCATCAGACAGGAAAAGCAGCTTTAGATTGATTTTTGTTAGGCATAATTGTATGAAGGAAGATGAGGTTGAAGCCATTTAACAAAATTCCTAAATCAGCATTATGGGACAAAAAACTTAAATTAGCAACAGTTTTAGGGAAAAGAACTTTCTACCCTTTCTTTTTCTCAAGAATACTCTGTCTCCATCCACCTTTAAATCAATATTCTAATCCCAGTCCTTCCGACCTTGTAATACATTCAACTGCAGATCGCTTTCTCTGTTCCGGAGCTCCAGCTTAGACCCTGGTTTTGGTTCATCTTAGATGTAGGTAACAGTCACATTCATCATAGAGAATTTGTACTTGTGCATATTATAACCTGTTTTTTGTTCCCTTCTCTTACCCTCCCCTCTCCATTTTTAAAAGTTTTATTTCCATTTTTTCTCATTTTTTTTAACTTTCCTGTCTCTCTCCTTCCTTGTTACTTTCCCCATTTGAACATTTTCTTCATATTTCACAATATGTTATACATTTTAGTCCTAATTTACACTTTCAGTTTCTTACATTAGAAAAATAATGCAGTACCCATGTGCGTGTGATTTATTTCACTTAAGAGTATGGACCCCAGGGTACCCATTTTCCTAGAAATGTCTCGAGCATATCCTTCTTTATCCAGCCTAGACCCTTAACCTGCCTTTCAATCATTATCCTACTGTTCTTGCTTACTGGACAAGTGCTCTTATTGGTGCCCACACTTCAAAGGCTGATCCCCGCAAGGCACCCTTCTCATATACCTTTCATTTACCCCAAGGTATGTGAACTTTCTTTCCCTGAGACTTACTCAGTTTCCTTGTGTAAATGAAGTATGGAGAAGAATTTCTCCCAGTCCAAGTCTGCTTTTCCCTCCCCCACTCCCTCTCTCATTATAAGGCTTCCAGAAGGATAACCACTGAAAGATTAAGGCCCTCTTCTCTCTCCACAGCCCTGGGCTCTGACCCTCACATCAGTATGGAAGTTCAAGCAAGTGGAGAGATCCGGCTGGAGTGCACTTCTGTGGGGTGGTACCCAGAGCCCCAGGTGCAGTGGAAAACCCCCTCAGAGGCCAAGTTTCTGTCCACATCTGAGTCCAGGAGTCCTGACCCGGAGGGTCTTTTCACCGTGGTGGCTTCCATGATCATCAGAGACATGTCCCTGGAGAATGTGTCCTGCTGCATCCACAACCTGCTCCTTGGCCAGCAGAAGGAAGCAGGAATTTCCATGTCAGGTCAGTGGGGCAGGGCTGCCTCCCGTGTGGATGCAGTTTCAGGGCTGCAGCACCTGGTATGCCTGCTCAGATGTGACTTCACGCCAGAGTCGTCTACTTTTCCTGTCTAAGCACTTGCTCACTGACTTAAAGGACTCCTGCCCATTTCATTAGAAGGATAAAGATTCTGAGGCTGGTGTGTAGCTCAGTGGGAGAGTGCTTGCCTAGTATGTATCAGGCCTGCCTGGCCTGTGTTAGATTCCCAGCACCATCACCACCACCAAAAAAGAAAAAATAGATCCTCAAGTCATAAACTAGAAGCTCTATCCAGCTCTCATAGAAATTTATATGTGAAATCTGAAGTAGAGAAGTGTGTATTTAAGCTAGGACCTTCTCTCTCTGAATAAGCAAGAAGACTGGATTATTATTCTGGCCTCTTTATCCCAGGTAGAAATGGGTCTAGGTCTCCAGAGTCCTTAAGGAAGCAAATCCTGTCACTCCTTAGATGTGACATCTGCTTTAGACAAGAACCTGTCCCTATTTTGGGGTCAACAAGCCCCTTTCTGTTACAGAGAGATGTTTTCTTTTCCTTAATTATCTCATCCCCTGTGCTCCCATTCTGCACTGATTATTAAAAAAGGATATCAGGGCTGGGAATTTAGCTCAGCAGCATAAGCACCTGCCTTACAAGCAGGCAGTCGCGAGTTCGATCCCTGGTACCGAAAAAGACCAAAAAAAAAAGGGATATCAGTGACACCAGGATGGTCCTTTGTAGCCTTTATTCGTATGTTCCATGCCCAAACACCTCTTCACTTTTCTCTTTCTCTGCTCTTGCTCAAGATCAAATATTTGTTAAAATTTTTCTTGGTGTTGAAGGGATGATTTTTTGCTTTGGGAGGGCTGGAAGTTGCCCAGATGATTCCCTTTCCACCCCACTCCCAGGGATGAAAGGAGGGAAGCTGGGCTTGTTCTGAGTTTACCAACCCACATCCTTCATGTGAACTTTGTTTTAGCTCCCATCGTCCCAAGGCTGACTCCCTGGCAGGTGGCTGTAGCTGTCATCCTAGCGGTCTTAGGACTTCTCACCACTGGGTCCATAGTGTTCATTTGGAGACTGTACAAGGACAGATTCCGAGAAAGAAAGAGTGAATTCAGCTCCAAAGGTAAGTCACAGCATGCGCAAGAACACCTGTCAGAAGTGTCACAGGGAGGTTGGATCCATGCTGATTAGCATGCCTCCCAACAGGACGATCTTGGTTCTAGAGTTCTGACCATTAGAAAGAAGCAAAAAGGCTTCTGAAATCAGACACTGCACATTGGAAGAGACAGACTGTTCCATCCCCAGCCAGGAGGAACTTCCTGAATAGTTCTTAGAAAACAAAACAAAATCCTGTTCTGGAGTTCCTAGTTTCAGTAATCAGATGGCCCTGAACTAAGCAGTTCCTCCTTCATGTGTTTCCCACTCCAGTCCCATCCCTTCCCTCAGATGCATTATAAGAAGCCACTGAAGTAACTCTGTTTGTTTTCCAGAGAAACTCCTGGAAGAACTCAGTAAGTTCTATCTTAGTATTTCATCTGCAAGGTTTTCTCTCTTATTTTGTAATCTGGCTCTGACAATCTCTCTCTTTTATTGCAGAATCAAAAAAGGCTTCATTGCATGCAGGTCAGTGGCTCTGAACTTCCAAGGCCTCTGAAGCCTTTCCACTCGCACCCACCCTATCCCCACTGCCCACTACCCTATGCCAGCCCTCTTACCCCATCCCTTCCACTTCCACTACCGCCCCTAACTTCAGAGCCCTGTGAGACTTGAGCATGGAAGCACTAATGCACTTTAGTGAGAAGGAAAGGACAGGAAGAGGTGACAAGCAAATGGCCTCTACTTTCCCCTTGAGGTACCTATAGAGACCCATCTGTCACGGTCCCATTAGAGACAAGCAGCTTCTATATCCCCTGTGGCTGCTGATTTGAAGACTGTGCAAAGGCCAGGCTGCTCTTCCAGGGAGACTGTGTCCACTCTTAGACTGCTGCTCCATGCAGAAGGGAAGACAGGTCCTGTAACCTCCAGCACTCAGAATGATCACTCTCTGTGTCCATCTGCAGTGAACGTGACTCTTGATCCAGACACTGCCCACCCTCACCTCTTTCTGTATGCGGATTCAAAATCTGTTCGACTGGAAGATTCACGTCAGAAACTACCTGACAAAGCAGAGAGATTTGACTCCTGGCCTTGTGTGTTAGGCCGGGAGGCCTTCACCTCTGGCAGACACTATTGGGAGGTGGAGGTGGGAGACAGAACTGACTGGGCAGTTGGGGTGTGCAGGGAGAACGTGATAAAGAAAGGGTTTGACCCCCTGACCCCTGAGAACGGGTTCTGGGCTGTGGAATTGTACGGAAATGGGTACTGGGCTCTCACCCCACTCCGGACCCCTCTCCCCTTAGCGGGATCCCCTCGTCGGGTTGGTGTTTTCCTGGACTATGATTCTGGGGACGTCTCCTTCTACAACATGACCAATGGCTCCCATATCTATTCTTTCCCCAGCGTCTCTTTCTCTGGCCCCCTCAGGCCCTTCTTTTGCCTCTGGTCCTGTGGTAAAAAGCCCTTGACCATCTGCTCAGTTGCTGATAGGCCTGAGAAGGTAACAGTCATTGCTGATGCCCAGGCCCTCTCTAAGGACATCCCATTGTCCCCCACAGGGGAAGAACCTGCCTCTGGGGATGCAGACACTCTCCATTCTAAACTAATCCCTCTGCAACCCTGCCAAAAGGCTCCTTAGGGAACATCCCAGCTGACTGTCCTCCTTTGCTCTCACCCTCTCCTTCATTAACCCTCAAGGCTTCAGCTGCCAGTTTCTCTCCTATGTCTCCTGTTTAATTCGTTTTGGAAAGATGGTGCCACCACTACTAGAGGGAAGTACCAATATTCGAAGGGTGAAGAAGTGACTCCTAAACTGCTTCCAGCGCTCTCTTATCCTTTAAGACCAAAGCCTACAGGGAAGAGCCTGGAGCAGGCTCAAAGGACATGTGAGGAATAGAGATGGGCTTAGGTTGGCATGGGCTGTGGCAGAAAACGCTTGATGTACAGCATAGAGGCAGCTGAGTAACAAATTTAGGCATGTGGGAACCCCAAAGCGTGCCAGGGGAGGAAAATCTTGTGTTAAAATCCCATAAAGGCACCTATCAGGGACATCATGGTGAAGGTGAATGAGATGAGCACAGATCAAGTTTGTGCACCTGGCCTGCCTGTAGAGCTTTGGGGGCCTGTGTCTCAGGTTTTCTAAGCCGAGTGCGATAGGACAGGGATTGGCCAGCCTTGCAGAGCTGACTGAATGAGTAGAAAGTTGAGGCGAGCAGGGTTGGAGGCTAGATGATGGAGGGGAGAATCATGGCTGAAAACAGTGAGTTGTGTGCACAGCTAAGCCTCAGGCCTGCTCTCTGGCTAGACTCTTCTGTCTCTTCCCTGCCTGGAGCCAATCCAACTCATACTGTGGGAAATTTTTCTGATCACTTCATTATCTGTCTTGGTCTCAGACTCAACCCCCCCCCACCCTGCTCCCAACATCCAAACCTTTAATGCACGCTTTCCGTTAGCTTCACATGCCTCTCCTCATTTCTACACAGTGCCCCCACTCGCTGCCTCCTCACCCCACTTTTCTGTGCTGCTCCTTGAGGTCCCCTGGTGCAGCCCCATTGTGCTCAGTGCAGCTGGATCATCATGCCTCTTTGCATTGTCCCCAAGCACTTTCCTGTACACCCAGACTGTCCTGCCGAAGGATTGCACAAGTGCTCAGGCTCATGCCTTCCCGTTCCACTGCATTTTTCCAGCTCCCAGAATGGATGTTCGCCCTGGTCTTTTTCTAATAAACAAGTCTGTCTGCTTGCCTTTATGTGCCTTTGAACTTTCTTTCCTGTACCGCAATAAGTGAGACCAAAACAAAACAGAGCACAGGAAAGAGCCCTGCCTGGGAATGCAGCTGGCTAAACAGTACCTTTCCCAAGACCTGGCACCTCACCTGGCCAATGGGCACAGAGAATGTAGAAAAGCTGCAGTGTCTGTGGCCTCCCACCCTCAGTCTTGGGGTAGTGATTCCATTTCTGGCCCTTCCTGGTGGAGGAATAAGCTGCCTTTTTAAATGTACAGCACTTTTCCAGTCTTAGGTGGGAATTCTGAGTGCCAGGCAGTTCTGTGTATTATTCTCATATTCATTGCTTATGTAAGCACAATGTGGCCACCATATATTCCATGACCCAGCTCATCACTTCCAGGCCCCACTTACTTTAAATCTTTATTCTGACTTGGGAGTAAATACCTATGTAACAATATCTGCTCACTAATAGTTCCATGGAAATATGACCAGATTATTTAAAAATGAATCTTCTTATGGGCTTATTCATCAGGAGACTACAGAGCTTTTGCTCTGGAAGGGATTAAGAGAAAAATGTAACTGAACTTTAGGATAAGAATTAACTTCTGTGTCCCCAGTGGAGCTGTGGGGGGGGGGGACTTGCCTAGCATCCTGGAAGTCCTGAGTTCCATCCCCTGTACCACAAAAACAAACAAGCACTTTATAGTAAACATAGTACCTCCTGATGTTTATTCAGCCTGGCAAGGTGGCATGCATCTGTAATCCCAGCACTCTGGGAGGCTGAGGTAGGAGGATCATAATTTTGAGCCCAGTCTGGGTAATTTAACAATTTCACAAGATCTGTCTCAAAATAAAAATGTAAAATGAAAGAAATAAGAAAAACGGGATGTAGCTCAGTGCAAAGGCCCTGGATTCAAGGCAGGGGGAGGGGAAGAAACTAAAAGTAACAACAAAACGTCATCCGAACATTTTTCTCAGGCAATTGCATTATTGGTCTACAGTGGAATGTAAAATGTATTTGTAAAATCTCACGCAGAATAGACAGCTGCCATGGGAATCTCACTTGAATTAGAGAGAAGAAGTTCTACATGTTAATCAATTCTCCAGAGAGAGCTTCCCTTTTTCTGTGATCTGTAAGGAAAAATGGGCAGGTTAGCCAGTACAGTACTGACCTGGGGTAAGTTTTTAGGGAATTCCACATTCTCTGCCCTCACCCACTCACCCCCGCCAGTCTTCGCTCTACCCACCCAGGAAGCTCTTATCTGACTAACAACCTTCTGGCTCCCTGCCCAGCTGGTGCCAGCTGTCAGAATTGTACCCCTGCAAGGAGGAAAGCCCTCGACATTCTGACTTTCTTCAAAACTGCCTAAAAAAACAGAAAATGTTGTCTTGTCAAGGTCTGCCTTGGTCACTTGAGGCAAAGTCAGTGATACATGATTTCAGGAACACCAGAAAGGCCTCTTCCACAGTCACTAATAATTGAGATGTTTGATAATGTTTGATTTTCTTTTTAAACCAGAAATAAAACTCCTACTCTATCAAACATGAGAATAAAATGCTACTAAAATGAACATGATTGACCTCATTTCACTATGCCTGATGCCAACTCCAGTATCAGAGTCTCTGTGGGGTAAATGAGACCAGCCAGGAAGAAATAATCATCCCTCCCCTCAGTCACCAGCAGTTCCTCATTTCCTCTCTCAGTGCCTCTCAGTCCATCATCTGGGGGTCCAGACAGCCTGGTATCACTTCAGCCTCCACCCTCAGAACACCGTCTCTAACAGACCATCTGCAACCACACACACGCATACTCCTGCCTCTTATTTGATTGTGTAAAATGAGAAGCACTCGTTTGTCCAAAATCTCATCAACCAAATACCCAATATCAACATTTGTGTTTATTCTCACCTTATTTAATAATAATAAAAACTCACTCTGAGAGGCTGAGATAGGAGGGCCACAAATTTGAGCCCAGCCTCAATTTAGCGAGACCCTATTTCAAAATTTAAAAAAAAATTTTTTTTTAAAGATTTGGCCTCAGGGGCTGGGGATTTAGCTCAGCGGCATAAGCGCTTGCCTTGCAAGCAGGCAGTTGTGAGTTTGATCCCCAGTATTGATAAAAAGGAAAAAGACAAAAAAAAAAAAAAAAAAAAAGATTTGGCCTCAGTCCTCAGTACTGAAAATAAATAATGTTTGCTTCAGTAGATTTAAATTAACTGTTCTTCAGAAAATAAACCTCACAGGAATTTAAAGTACTTTGTGCTACAAATGTAGCAGTTGTGTCAGACAAAAGGAGATTTTAAAAGATCACATGAATTGATGAAAGATAGAGGATGTGCATGGACCATGAAAGGCAGAACCAGTCTCAGTTTGACATGTCTTCTTAAGATTCGGGGCTCTTTTTTGTTTGGTTGCTTTGGTTTTTTGTTTGTTTATTTGTTGTTGTTTTGGAGCGTTTTTGAGACAGAGTCTTGCTATGTAGTGCAGCCTGGTCTTAAATTCACTATGTAGTCCAGGCTGCCTCACACTCATGGTGATTCTACTGCCTCAGCCTCCCAAATGCTGAGATTACAGGTGTGCACCACCACACCCATCTCAGGTTCTTACTTTTATCCTATGTGATGGAGACCGGTAATTTCATCCACATCCTTTGCTGCCTTCTCCAAATGCATTAAGACACAGTTTCTCAGATAAAGAGAGGAATGCAAAGAGAAGAGATAGCTTCTGTCACCCTGCTGGTTAAGTAGCAGAGCTGTGATTTGACCCCAGACCATCTGATTTGGCACCAGGATCCATCAGACCATCTGATTTGGCACCAAGGTCCACGATCAGGTGATGAGCTTCAAATAATTCTCCAAGGTGAGCAGGCCCTGCATGGATCTTCAGAGCAGAATCCAACTTAGGACAAATAAGAGGTAAGAGAGTTGACACAACATCAAGCTACAGCCAAGGACTGTTCTTAGAAAAGGAGAGAAAGAAAGAAAGAAAGAAAGAAAGAAAGAAAGAAAGAAAGAAAGAAAGAAGAAAAGAAAGGAAAGAAAGAAAGAAAGAAAGAAAGAAAAAAAGACAAACAAAAAGAAAGACAGGGGGGCTCTTGTTATTGGGATTTGCTGCTGGGGAAGCTGAAGCTGGAGTATCACAAGTTTGAGGCCAACCGGGGCAATTTAACAAGACTCTGTCTCCAAAAAAGGGATGAATAGAGCTCAGATGTAGAGGTTGAACCCTAGATTCAATTCCTAGTACCCCCTCCAAAAAAAGAAAAGAAATGAAACAAAATGAAATGAAATTTGCTTTCTGTTGGACATGGTTGCACACTCGTGTAGTCCCCGCTACTCTGGAGCCTGAGGCAGGAGGATCAATTGAGACCAGGAATTCCGGGCAACATAGTGAGACCCCATCTATCTATAAACACCTACCAGTGGCTTCCCCTTATAGTCAGGACAAAACTCAGGCCCTGCTGACACCATCTGGCCTTAACAACCCCTGAACCCTCACCTCTGCCTTTTCCCCAGCCATAGAGGGCTTTTGTGGCCTCGTCATTGTTGCCCATGCCAGACTTTTCTGGAAGAGGCTGAGCATCCCAGTTAAATGCAGGGCACAAGAGCCTGGCGTGGGAAACTGAGAGCTGCAGTTAAAAGAAGCACGGAAGTGATGTGGCTTTGAGCCACAGAGTTATTTGCTATGCTGAAATAAATGCAACAGTCATCTTTAAAAATATTTGCTAAGTGAAGCATGAAGGCACACGCTGTGCCCCCAGCATTCCGAAAGGCCGAGGCAAGACCCCTTCCTGGACAATTTATTGATTTGGCATGACTCTATCACAAAATTAAATAAATAAGGAAAAATTTTTAAATGGATGGGGATATAACTTTGTCTGAAGGCCCTAGATGTGATCCTCAATTCCCAAAATATTGCTGATGTGTCTTATTTACCCTGTATTTTATTCAGGTTTGCCCTATATATAGTTTATCTTTCCCTCGGTACCAGAATCAGACTCAGGACCTCACCACTTGCAGGCACTGTGCTGCTGAGCTATATCCCTGACCTTTCTTTCTATATGTTTAACCTTTTATGAAAAATAGGCTTTTTTCCCTCTTTTTCCTCCTCTTTGTTTCTGAAACAGGGTGTCACTGTGCAGTTGAGGCTGGCCTTGAACTCACAGTGATTCTCCTGCCTCAGCCTGTAATCCCTCAATGCTGGCCTTTGCCACCAATCCCAGCCCCTCAGTTCTTTTTAGAAGTCACTCCTGGTCACTGGTGAGCTGGCACTTTCCTGGGGGCCTAGGGACTGAAGTGAAGGTCCTGCTTGACCAGGAATTCTGCCTCTGCCCTCTTTCCCAACGTCTCATTACTGTGCCCTCAGTGAATATTCACTGTGGTTGGTGTATGAGCTGCCCTCTTATCTCTGTGTTCCCCATCACCACCCTATGTGGAGGGGGGCAGTGACTGCACCTGAGGGGTGTGTTCTCCCATCAGTGGAGGTCACGTCTTTGCCCACCTAGATGTGGCCTCAATTCCCAAGCCTTGAAGGAGAATAAGGCCTGAAATTCCAGCAACCTTGCCGTCAGTACCTCGGCAACTTTCGACTCGGATGGATCTGTGCTCTGTTTTTCAGGGACGCCCACAGTGATAGCAAGAGTCGGAGAGCTGTGTTACAATTTGTTCCTCATTACAAAATCATCCAACAAAAGTAGCTAACAACCAGGGTTAAGACCCAGCATATATTATCTTATTTTCCTAAGATCTAGCCTACAAGGAACTATAATTCCCATGCTACAGATAAAGGACCTGGGGTTGATTTGTTTGTAGTCACACACTGTGATGGGATTGGTTGTTGCTGGGTGCCTTTGCACTCTTAAGATAGTATTTATTTTCACAAAATGCTTACAAGCTCTTCCCAGTATTCACTCCAGCAAGCAGGCCTCGTTTTCTGTAGACTGATTGATTCCATCTTAGCTCCCTGGAAGGGTGGACTCTGGGTCTTATGTGCTAGGCTACCTTTCTGGCTGTGGCCAGCTCTGC